TCACTCGTAGGCGTGTATGCCTGACTATAGCTAGCAGTCTGAGTGTGGGGTTGTCAATCCCAATATAGATCTATACACACATGGTTTCGATCCCCGATTTGGAGATTCTGGTTATAATTTTAGGACTTTAACTACGTTGTTTAAATGAACTAAACAAGCTGAATCAAATGACTCATAAAAAGCATATAGACGTTACATGTACAATAGTTACGAAAACCCAATCATTCTGAAATGAATGATTGATAGTATGCCCCTGAATTAGTATATGAAAGATGTATACTCTTGTTTTAATTTTGAATCAAACCCTTGTTCTTGTAAAACAATGTACTTTAGTATACTTGAATTGTGAATTAATGTTTTGTGAATCATAAATTATACCTATTATAATTTATATGTACTTTCTGAATTGATAGTAAGTATTCATGAATGCAACCCCTTGCTCAGCATGTTACAAAGGGTATCTAAACTGAATGAAATAACTTTTATATATTTATATACATATACAATTATATATAAGTAGAATTTAAACGATATTCGTACAAATAACTTATACTATAAGCCCACATCCAAACAAGGAAAAGGACCCAAAATGAGTTATCAGTCCTAAGCCCTTTAAATCTTATTTATATATATATATATATATATATATATATATATATATATATATATATATATGATTTTTGGGAAAAATATTAATTTATAAAAACATTTAAAGAGTTTAATATTTGGAAATATTTTTAATGACTTGAATGTCATTTTAAGACATTTTGAAACTATTTGTTTGTAACACAAAATCCTTGTGTTAAACTTGTATTCTCTCCCCCCCCCCCCCCTTAAAACTGTAAAAAACTATGAAAATACGGGGGTATGAACTCACTTGGTAAGAGTGACGATTTGATGAAAAACTGGGCTTTATGCGGGCAGCACTTCGGCTGGAAAGAGGTTAGCTTCTCGAGAATTTCGGGGCTTCGGGCTTTCGTCAGAGCTTGGATATGTCACCGGGGCGTCGGGGTAGTCTTGAGAGGCTTAAAAGTGTGTGAATATAGGAGAGAGGTTGGAAATTAGCATCTAAAACCGGAGGTCTCAGTTTCTATTTATAGGAGGCTGAAACCTCCTCGTACGCTGGGCGTACGTGCGTACGCTGGGCGTAGCGTACGTGCCCAGCCTAGTCGTTACGCGTCGAAGCTAGTATGCATGCATGGCTCGCATGCAACGAGAGGGTGACAGAGCATCGACGTGGCCGGTTCCTGACCTTGTTTCCGAGTACGCTGAGCGTACTCTTGTACGCTTGGCGTACTCGCATTTATTCAACTTCAAAAATTCATAACTATTGCATACGAGCTCCGTTTTTGACGTTTTTTATATCCACGCGTAGGTGAGACTATGATCTACAACTTTCATTTAGACTCCGTCGGCTAATTTTGAATTTATTTTTAAAGTTATATTTTTAACAGGCTGAGACAGGAAAAGTCCGTTAAAATTTTATAACTTATTCATCCGACGTCCGTTTTTGTCTGTCTTTTTACCGTTGTACTACTATTTACGAGAACTTCGATTCTCGTTTAGGTTGTGTCGGCTAAAAATCACTCGATCTTTATTTCGAGTTTTTAGATGTATACTGCTATATTGAATCTTAGAAAAATCATAACTTACTCATACGAAGTCAGATTTTGACGTTCTTTTTATGAAAGTTCTCGGTTTAACTTATTCTATAACTTTCATTTAGATTGTTAAGGCTAAAACGCATTTTATTGAAAACTCACTTTTTACGCTGAACAGTGTTTCGCCGGTTTTGTCGCGGACCTTTGATTGGTCATAACTTCTTCGTTATAACTCGGATTTTAGTGTTCTTAGTATTTTTGGAAACCTTGTTAAAATCTCTACCACTTTGTTCATCCCAATCGAAATTATTTAATACTTCATTTTTGAGGGTCGATTATGTAAATGCACATAGTATACAAAAATTTCTCTTTATTATTTTAAAAAGAACTACTAATTGATCTATACTATTACATAGATTTGAAATAACGATTTGTTACAGAACCCTAGCCTTGAGAGAAAAGATCCTGGAGCCTTTTTGGTAATTTTGTGCATTCTTGTTGAGGAAGAAGGTCATTGAAGAAGGTGATGTTGCATGCAAGCTTGTGGATCCAAAAACTAACTCACTTTGTGCATATTTTGAAGGTATAAAGTCCATACCTTGCTGATGTTCTTTCTAGATTTATTTAGATGGGTTTTTATGAACTTTTTGTCCCAAATCTTGGACCTTTGTAGGTATGGGGTACTCCAGAGCGTTTTGGTTGTCCTTTTAGATGTTTTAGAGTGCCTTGATTCATAAAAATGGTTGCTTGATCGTTTGCTTTGGCTCATGTATGATTTAAGTGACTTAGAGTGTTGTAAAAGTTAGGGCTTTGTGTTTTGTGCCCTATCTAGCCATGCAAAGGTTTAAAGTCAGTGATTTTATGGGTTAAGACATTCTATAGTGGTCAGTTCTGAAGTTGGAATAAGTGTCTTAAAGGATTAAGACATAAAAGTTGGGGTTTTGGGACCAGTCAGAGTACGCTAGGCGTACTCCTAGCTACTCCCCGCATAACCATGCTCGTCCCCGTCTTCGCTGTTTCGAGATGTACGCCCCGCGTAGGAAGGGTACGCCCCGCTTACGGACGAGAAGGTTGAATTGTTGACTTTTGCTGACTTTTGACTTTTGGTTAAAAGATTTAGGGTTTTTGACCATGGAAGGGAAAATGGTATTTTTTTCCCTCCAGGGGCATAGTGGTGGGATTTGGATCGTGAGTTGGGTTATGACCTTAATTGACTAGGGATACTTGTTATGTTTATTAGGCGGAGTCTAGTTCCGGCAGTTAGGGAGTGAGATTTACCAGTCATCAGTATTAGGTGAGTCTCCTCACTTATTCTTACATGTGTAGTAGAATAGTTGTATATATTTACATGTGATAACCATCTGGGTCTAAGTGCTATTACTATGTATATGTTGAGACTTCGGGGTAGTCTCCAGTGTTGTTGATAACCCACTGGGCGTGCAGTTTGCCCACTGAGACTTCAGGTAGTCTCCAGGGTTGCTGATAACCTTTAGCTGTTTATTTGTGTTATACCGTGTGTGGTATTTTGGGGAACACACTATGTTTCGTGCTTACAGTTGTTGATTATATGTGTTTCAGGTACTTATGAGGATCGTGGGAAAGTGAATGTCTGATTGTACACACTCGCTGGGAGATTTGTTATTGGGCATTAGGTGGCACTTTGATATTTGTAGTGATGATTTGTATTTGATACTTGTGATTTTCTAATGGTTTGGTTTATGAACAATATTTCGGGTAAATTAAAAATGAAAGATTTGGTTTGAAATTTGAGGTGTTACACTTAAAGTGTTAAGACCTATGGGTTAATGACTAGTCAAAAAAGGGTTAAGTGCTTGGAGAAACTAGCTTCTTACTACACTTCATGAAATCCAAAATTGGGTCTTCCCTTTTTACTATCTTTAGTTTTGTTAAGAACACATGAAGAACACTTGCATTTTAACTCTCTTGAAGTTCATGCTTTCGTTATGAACTTCAAACTTAAGAGTATAAGAGTTTATGGACTAGCATCTACATCAAGTTGGTTTCATATTGGTGTCTCAAAAGTTTCCACATTCTCCATCAACTTCCAAGCCTCCTTTTGAGGATTCAAAGACTACGAAGGCTGTTATGTTCTTTTACTTCTTTGGTGCTTGTTTTCTTTCCAAACTTTGCAAGAAGATTCGTGATTGGTTATAATTTGTTTTATGTTGTTCAAAATCAAAGTTTCCTATTGCTAAATCGTATGGTTTTTATACTAATTTCTGAATAAAAACCCAACAGAGGAAGTCAATGATTTTGACTTTTCCTTCCTGAAATTAATCGGATTAAGTTTTGAAGAATAACAATGGAGGCCGTGAGGATTTGGGTTTAATCTGGGTGAGGTTGGGGGGGGGAGGAGGTTGGGGTTTATTTACTTATTTTTTTATTATATTTAAATCAATTAAAAAGAATAAAGAAAATATAAAAGAAATTCAAAAGGGCGTAAATGTCACTTCATGTGTCTCAAGGACTAACCATACAAATTTTAGAACTCACAATGACCATGTTCGCAAAAGAAAAGCAAAAACTAAAATTATGACATTTGATAAATCACATTGACCATTCATGTAATTTTGTCTTATAAATATGTTAGTCTCACAAAATAAAGATGGTATAAATTAGTAAAATAAAAAGAGTGCTACTATATGTACCAGGTACAAGCTATTACATTCACATAGGACATATAAAACAATTTAAGGGGATACCTGGGGGTGTGCAAACCCAAACCAAGAAACCGACAAAACCGACAAAACCGAAACCGAAGCAAAACCGACGGTTAGGGTTTAAATTTTTTAAAAACTGAAAAATCGGGTTCGGTTTCGGTTTTTACCAAGAAACCGACCCATCCAACCCGAGAAACCGACCCATACTTGATAATAGACTATTTCAGGCTTTGGTTGTAACTTATAATAGACTATTTGTTGTAAGACTCATGTTTTTTGATGTATTTAACTTTAATTTGATGTTTTTTGAAGTATTTAACTTGTTGCTTCATTTATGGAAAATGGGTTAAAACCCAAAACCCATGTGATTAAACCCATAACCCGTGAGTGTATGGGTTGAACCCAAGAAACCGAAAACCGCCCAAACCGTACTCAGAGCCCAAGAAACCGATCCTATTAGATTCTGAAAACCAGAAACCGACCATTTATGGGTTGGATTGAGTTTGGGTCCAAAACCAACCCAAGCCGACCCATACACAGCCTTAGGGATACCTATAAAATTTCCCAATAAGAACTAAAATACTTTTTTTCACGAACCAAGTTAAAAAGACAGGGGAAAAATATATTATAATTTATTTTAAATATAAAAATAAACTAACTAGTATGGGCTAATAATGAACAAAATGTAAGTTTTAAATGGTGCCTTAATTGAGTTATTCCCATTTATTCCTCACCAAAGAGAAAAAAGAAACATCTGTTTCAGACCGTTTGTGGGTGGTTTCCTCCTTCCCTCCCTCACGAAACATTCCTTCTTTTCCGCCACCATCCACCACCCACAACCACCGCCGCAACAGTACAACCCCTACCTTTATACAATCTCAGAAGAACACAAAAACTAAACTCCAACAACATAAATATTCAATTACTCACATGGATCTGCTCTCTTCTTCCTCTGCTACTCACCTTATCACCTTCTTTCTTGCTTTATCATTTCTCTCCAAAGGTAATTTTTCTTCAAAGCTTTCCATGATTATAAATTACATCTGGGGTTTCTTCCATTTTATCACTCATTTGATATTTTCTCACACACTATGTAGGTGTTTTCGGAGCTACATTCTCATTTGTCAACAAATGTGATTACACAGTATGGCCAGGTATACTCGCCAATGCCGGAAGTCCAGCACTCGACACCACCGGTTTTGAGCTCCCGGAAGAAAGCTCTCGTACATTCCAAGCTCCGACCGGCTGGTCCGGCCGCTTCTGGGGCAGAACCAACTGCAAATTCGACAGATCCGGCTCCGGTACATGCCAAACCGCCGACTGCGGTTCTGGTCAGGTGGAATGCAACGGAGCAGGAGCAGCTCCGCCGGCAACACTAGCGGAGTTCACACTCGGTTCAGGCGGGGCAGACTTTTACGACGTCAGCTTAGTAGACGGCTACAACATAGCAATGATAGTCGAAGCTTCCGGCGGCTCAGGTCTCTGTGCAACCACCGGGTGCGTCAATGACTTAAACCAGCAGTGCCCGAGTGAGCTGCGGGTGGAGTCAGGTCAAGGATGTAAGAGCGCGTGTGAAGCGTTTGGTAGCCAGGAGTACTGTTGCAGCGGCGCGTATAATACACCCGCCACCTGTAAACCGTCGGTGTATTCCGAGATGTTTAAGTCTGCTTGCCCTAGATCGTATAGCTACGCTTATGATGATCCCACCAGCACCTTCACTTGCACTGGGGCAGATTATACGGTGACGTTTTGTCCTTCCATGCCAAGGTTAGCTTCTCTGTTGTACTTTACGTATTAACAAATTGTACATTTGGCCGACATCAAACACTACGAATGCTTTATGTACAACGGTATTATTTTATTTTATTAATATTTTTACATTTATTATTTATGCTACAATTATTACATTTCTAAGCTATACAAAGCATCCGATGCACTAGTGTATGATTATTATTTTTTAAATTAATTGGTGTATTTACATTTTTGCAGTCAAAAATCTTCACGCGACACTTCTCCGGCAACCACCACCACCGATGGTAATACCGATACCAACACTAACACCAACGCTACCCCAGGCGGCGGTGGTGAAGATTCGTTTTCCGGGTCAGGTGTAGAATCTGGAAACGGAGACGGTTCAACGGGTGGGTCTGAGTCTTTGTCTGGGTCAGGATCCGGGTCAGGGTCCGGGTCCGAAGCTCTTGAGGCTAATGGATCATGGTTGGCTGGTTTAGCCATGGGTAGTGGTTCAATAAGGGTTCAGCCTTTTGGTGCGACTCTTTGCTTTATTGTTCTGCTATGTTTTTTCTTGGGTTAGGCTTTTGTCCAGATGGTGCAAGTTTCATTGCATAATGTACAAGTTGATGTAATGGCATTTTTCATGGTTTTATTGCTTTTTTAGCTCTAGGAAAACATGGGGAATTTTTCTTTTGGCAGCTCCTTTTCCAGAGCAAATCTGACGCACTCCAGAGTGGCATAATGTAAGTGGACACTATTGACCTTGTATTGAAGGGCGTGAAAGAGGTGGACTTTAGGGGTAATTTTGTCTACTAAAGTGTCTTATTTTCTGGAAAAGTTGTAATATGTAAAAACAGTTTTTTAGGTTTTGATTCTTCGTGTCTGTTAGATATTATTTAATGTTGATATTTGTTCTTGGGATATTAATTTAGGAGTTATTCATCAAAATATCACATATTAGGATAATATATTATGATGATTTTTTTTATTGGGACTACCACAAAACTGTGAAAGCTAAGTTGTGGTAAACCTTGACTTGATGAAAATGTTTGCAAAGAGGAAAGAACGTCCGTATTATCATGTTTCATTGTTTTTTAGACTTTTTAGTCCACACTGAATCGACTAACCTTTATAAATGTGTATGATATTTTTAGAAAATTATAAATTTAGCTTAAGTTATTAATGATTTTTCGAAGAATAACTAAACATTAGGATTTTCATAAAATAGCCACACAAACCGTAGATGAGGGAGGCTCATCTGCGGTTTTGTGTACTCAGCTTCGGTTTCGTCAAATCCGGACAAACATGCCTTTGGTTTCGTCTGTTGGGCTGAGGTTTCATTACCCCGTCTTCGATTTTGGCAAACTCTAAAAAAATCATTTCTAAGATCCCGAAATCGCAGATGTCATTTGATCATCTGTGGTTTCCTCTCATCTTGGCTACGATCATCTGTGGTTTCCTCTCATCTTGGCTTGGCTACGGTTTTTTCACCCATGCTTTTTCTATATTTGTTTTAATCTAATATAAGTTTGACTATGATATTATAACTTAAAATCTTACAAGCAACTAGTATATGTTCAAGGGTTAACACATAAATTAAAAAAATCGGATAATATGAAGAACATAACCGAAGATGGCATTTTCATCTGCGGTTGTACAAGTCTGTAATGCACAATTTGTGAATTAGAGACTTGTACCACCGTAGATGACAATGCCATCTTCGGTTTCGTTCTTCATTTCATCTGATTTTTTCGATGTTCGAGAAAAAAATAGCAAAAAAACATACACATAACTAGTAAATAAGAGCTGATGTTGCCATAATTAGTCATATATTTTGAGCAATTATCTTAATATTTATGAGCCTAACTGATATATTTGAAGATAAAAGATACGGATAATGCTTAAAAATCTAAATTTGCAGACAAATTTTTGTGTTGAAGAGATAAGGAAGAAATTGGAGCTGAATGGGGCTAATAAGGATGAATATTCAAAAGTTGTCTGATATGTTGAAGACCCAACTTGAATGAAGAGAAGAACGCGACACGACCAAGCTTAAGAGTTTGATTCGGATAATGATACACGATAATGCGCGACACGACATACACCTTATGCAGTACAAATTCTACGTTGTCCTACAACTATAAATAGATCTTCTCATTTTATTCCAGAGCATGCCAACTTGAAGAGATAAATCAAGTTACGATTTTTCTTAAGTCTGGCCTGATTAAAAGCCGAAGAATACGTTGGAGCAAGCATTAGAAGATCAAAGCGCGAAATTTCTAGATTAATCATTCGGTTTGCATTATGTATTCTCTTATGATGTTTGAGTCTATTAAGACCACACACTACCCTCCTATTCTGTCTACCATATTTTGTGGTGTTCTCTTCGATGATAATAATTGAAACCACCACGACCACCCCCTAGTCCATTAGATTGACGATAATTAGCATATGTATGTGTGTAATTCGTGTCTTAATTAAGCCACATGAATTGTGCTATTTTTTTTCAAGAAAAATTCTCTTACAAAACTTTGAGGAGTTGGAACGAGCTATATGAATTTGACTTATTTTTTCCTGCTCGATTATGTAGAAGAAAAATATTTCAGGTGAAAATAAAGCAACATTTATACGTTAATCAATAAATCATATGTTTCAGTAACATTAGTGTCTAACATAACATATTGTCTTTGGGTTGTTTTGCTCTTAAATTTAATAATTCAAACAATTACCTAAACCAACATCCTCAATAACTTTGGACATTGTTCATCTTCTACAAGTGTGAGCCGCATATTAATTCTAAAGGAGCACAATATTTTGAAGGGTCATAATTTTGCTGATGTCCCACTCAGACGAAAAAAAATTGTAATAGTTCAAGAAGCTCAACGACCTATAGAAGGATCATAAAAGTTGCAGTCCTCCCCTTGTTCATCTTTTTACACTCTATATCACCCATTTCCAAGTCATTGTGGGGAATCCAGTTCTTGCCTTGATGTTGTTCATTGTTTGACCTATTTCATAGAATGGAGAAGGATTCGATGAAATTGATTTTAAAAGACCAGTATAAGTGATGCATTCATGCCACCACTAACGCATAATTTTTGGAGAGATGATATCAATACAGGAGTGATTAGTAGTGAGGATGGGGTGTTCACTGAAAGGAGAAGGGATTGGAGGTAATAATGGTTGTGGTTCGAGGTTTGAGAGTGGATGAGAAATTCAGGGGTCGATCCTTGACGTCTTTTAACACGGTGGGGAATTGATTGTATTTATTTTAGGTTGGTTGTCAATTGCACCACCACAACCAGTAGCTTCAATGGTCCTTTTCCCTCATTTCTCCTATCTTTACGATATCTTTCCTTGATTCTAGTCTAACATAGGGTTTTTTTTTTTGCTTCATTGAGTAACTATCATCCCCGATGAGAGGCTAGATCCAACACCAAACCTCGTGAGCGACATTTTTTGTAGAGCAGTAGAGAGTGTTATGGTCTGAGATTTATTTTAGGGTAATCGTTTTATAGGAATATAATTTAATTTAGTATTATCAATAATTCATAAAATATAAAATTATAATGGTCATTTTACCAAGCTTCACTGCCCAAAATAAAGAATATTAGTTTTGAGGACCAAATCCATAACTAAACACGCCAAAAAGATTATTTTTGCAAGTTGAAATATTTTTGGACTGTATTTACAAAAAGCGGTACACATTCATGCCATTTTTGAAGTTTTCTCTCCATAAAAATTAAATAGAAAATGGATCCACACCCCAACATCAACCCCACCTCTCTCTCTCTCTCTCTCTCTCCCTCCCTCCCTCCCTCCCTCTCTCTCTCTAAAGTTGAAGCCTCAACTACCATGTACTAATCTTTCTCTATCTTTTATCCCTCTATCTCTCTTATCAGTTCAAGAAAATGCTCTTATGGTGAACCAAGAACCCAATCAAGATCAGGAACTGGTTCATATAAAAAGGTGATTTGACTTTGGGTAGATGTAAAATACAAAATGAAACATGACTATATGATGTACTTTGTAATTCTTTAATTAAGAGACTAAACCTCAAAATTTGTGCTAAACACATGACCAAATGTGTAGTTTATGCTAAGAATAAAATAAAGAAACATAGGGCGTGTTTGTTTATGAACAAATACCTACGTGGCATATTTTTTTCATAGGTAAAAATCGCACCACACCCTTTTAGCCTAAGGTAAAAATTGCACCACACCCTTGCACCACACTCTTAAACAAAATAAGTTTTGATTAAGTTTTATATATTTTTTTCCTAAAGAAATTGCTCATTAATAAAAGATTGGTTGTAGAGATTCATTATTTGATTACATAAGTTTGAAACCAACACAAAAATTTTGAAAATTGATAAAGGTTGTTTTCCATGTAACCTAACAAGACATATAACATCTAGGGTTTCATATTATTAACAAATGAGAACTACAAGATACAATGAAAGGAAAAGACATAATATATAGACTAGCTAATTAGGGTTTTCTAGCTAATGGGTCAACATAAAACCCCATACAAAATAAAGCACAAAATTTTATTAGGCTAACACCCCCTCAAACTCGCAATGCAACAACAATAAGTATTGAGAGTTTGTCAGATAGAAAATCAAATCGAGGAACAGTTAATGGCTTCGTAAAAATATCAACAATCTGTAAAGTGGAAGGAACATAAGGAAGGGAGATAGTGCCCTTCTAGAGATGATGTCGTGTGAAATGATAATCAATCTCAGTGTTTTGTGCGCTCATGAAACACTAAATTCTTGGCACTCATTATCGCACTCTCGTTGTCACAATACAAAGGGCTAGGCTGAGACATGTGAACGCCCATATCTGCAAGAAGCCATCTCAACCAAACAATCTCACAAGTGGCGATAACCATGGCTTGATGCTCAAATTTTATAGAAGATCAAGAGACAACATCTTTTTTCTTACTCTCCCAAGATATCAATGAATCTCCAAGAAAAACATAATACCTGCTAGTGGAATTATGATCATAAATAGCACTATCCCACTTAACATCACTAGAGTCTATAGGCATGTAAATCAAGATAGGATGTAGTGTAACACCGCAAATTTTCAAACAAAATTTTCATTTTAATTTCACATAAATCTCATTAACACATTTAACAAAAATCCCCAATTGTCAAATTATCCAAAACACATAATCAAATTGTTGAATAAAATCCAGGATCCTCAAAAACATAACTCCATCTCGTGTGTGTGTACAATCAAGCCGACGCCTTCTGCGATCCTGAGAAGTACCTGAAACACATATCACATAGCACGGTAAGCACGAAGCTTAGTGAGTTTACCAAAATACCACACATAGCTCATTAGCCTCTCATGGCTATACTCAAATAAGACCCTCCGGTCAATGTGTCTCAGTGGGACCCTCCGGTCTCACAACTCGGTTTGGACCCTCCGGTCCCAACTCAATAAGGCACAGAAATAATATACAACATAAATCACAAAGAAATAATGCAGGATATCACAATACTCAATATAAGTGCATAAGACCCTCCGGTCACACAAAGGTTACCACTCTAGGTAAGTATAGTGAGAAGACTCACCTCGGATGATGAACAGCTCCTATAAATGCTGCTGCTGTACAACGACCTCTAATACTGAACCAAAACCCACAATTAACTCAATTAAGATCTAGGACTAAACCTCACTCATTAGGTCTAAAGATAGTCCGCTATCCGGTCCACAAATAACTCAAGCTCATTGGGCCCACCAAGGCCCAATACTAAATGGGCTCTCCCAAGGCCTAACTCTCAACTTAAGTCCAAATGGAAAGCCCAACACGAGGGCCCAGTATATATATATATATATATATATATATATATATATATATATATATATATATTCCTCTGATCCAAAATCTCTAATACAGCAAGCCCAAAATCCAGGCCCAATAAGAGATTTAGCCCAAAAATCCCACAACAAGGT